TTATGATAATAATAATAATAATAATAATAATAACAATAATAATACTAATAATAATAATAATTGGAATTTCTGTAATGCTCCGCTCGACCAAAGCCATCCGCTCACCTTCCATCTGAGACGCTGTCAGCTCCAGTGGCACTTTGCTCAGACGCAGATTCTTCCCATCACCCCACTGTGACCTTGAGGTCTCCGCCCCGTCGTCTGGGTCCGGCAGAGTTGCCAGGTTGGCCGTCCCTGGGACCGGCGCGCCCCACTTGGCTCGGCTTTCCTCCTGCTCGGTGGCCACCACTGGGGAGGCCGGGGACTCACGCCACTTACCTCGCGACGGGGTCTGCGAGTCGAAGGGAAGACAAAACAAAACAAAATGTACAAAATCTACGACAAATCAAACAAGAGGGGAAATGGTAAAGGGAATTCAGAAGATACTGACTACCTGATCGTAGTGAGCTCGTTGAAACTATGATGTGAGGAAGCATAGTGACTGACTCACTCCTGGCATAATTCATCAATGCAAAGCTTTGAAGTTTTGCACAGTTTAAGAACATATTATGTTATTTTTAATAGCCAAATAGGTAAAACATAGCTACAACCGAAAATATCTTTAGCAACTTTTTCAGTTCTCAAATACACTTTACTTGCTTATCGACAAAGTCCAGAAAGTTGGTATCTTAATTACAACATAAGAAGATAAGCAGCCAAGAAGTGGCAATAACTGAGATAAATATATATTAATACATACCCTGTCATTCAATTTCTTCAAAATACTGTCCTTCTTTTTCTGCTCCGCAGTCCTGGGAATAAAAAGGGGAGAGGATCAAGTGATGAGGGGAACACCACAAAAAACTTCCAATATGGTCGCTTTCAAGGACAAGCGGGCTAACCTACATTTCGGGGGTTTCCAGAAATCTTGACCTACACTAAAAGTGGGCATTATCCTACCTATAGGAGAAGTTTGGTTTCATTGGTGTCTATATTTGTATGGTTATATATATAGAAAACTCTCCTTGTCTTTTAAAGAAACTGAAAAAGGGGCAAAAACTTTACCTTCGATTTTCTCAAAACAGTATTTTCCGAGATAGCCCCCTTGTGCTTAAAAGCGACCAAATAAAAAAAACACAGTTTGGCTGCAATGGTTTGCTTTTTCTCAAACACACTCACTACCATGGGAGACAGAATAACACAGAGAAACAGACTCCATCCAAACACAGAAACTAATAACTTGTATCATTGTGGTGATCGTAAAAGTTTTACATTCCATGGTCACGATTCCAATCATTTAAGACGCTGGTTGCTTGGACCCTACCTGCTCGGTGTAAGACTCCTCGATACGTCGCTTTTCAAAATGGCATCTGGTACAGTCTTACATAATGAGAAAATACTGGATGTAATAACTTTTTCATGTAAGAATTGACCTCACATCTTCTGCATTTCTCCCTTCTATTTGAGCAACCTCTCTAAACTGAAAACCCAGCTATACCAAAGGAAACCGACCAGTTTCGCAGATTTCCGTTAAACCCAATTCACCCAGCGTTGCCACGAACAGTGCACTTAATACTTGGGTCCACCTGGTTTGCCGCCAGCCGGGGGAAAAAGCGGTCTGAACTCGACACACTATAATTAAAACTTGCATTGTGCCGAAAGTGTATAAGCTATCAAATATGAAATTTCGCAAAGATTTTACTTAAAATGTTCTTTTAATATTACTATAGACATATTTATATGTCTCTCTCGCCACCTGATTGAAGAGGAAGATAAGGAGGCAGAGGTCAGTACTGCCGTGGAGAGGATGATGCTTTTGGGAATACAAAAAGGAAACAGAAAATCTGGCATCCTTGCAGGAAAGAACAGAAGAACGTTCAACCAGATATGCACCGGCACAATCAGTAGAAAGACCCTCAGCGACTTTTTGGAGAGAGCAACGGAGCATCAATGGACAAGTCCGGAATGCAGGGATGTTGCTTATTGAAGCAAAGAACAATGAATTTAATGTCATTTGAGAGAACAAGGAAGGAAAGAGCAGAGAAAACAATCTAATTCTTCGTCCGACTGCGACTCATCGGCACTCGATTTACCCATAGCAACTAATAGTAAATCTATGGTCTAGATCTAGCTTTTCTTCAAAGTTTTCAAGGCACTAAAATCAATCTGATCTCCTTGTTTTTCTAGATTTAGGTCAACTTTCACTTTCTTTGCCACTTATGTCCAAAACAAAACCAAAACCATGGTTCATGTGTTAAAACAAACACTTTTTGTGGTTGTTGCTCTTATTCTCTTCCATGAAGACTTCAGTGAGAGCTTAATCCTCCGTGACCGTTCGCTTTCTTGCCATGATTTGCTGTGACAAAACAACCAAACTAACTCGTACTTGGCGCAAAAATGGATCAAAACAAGCTAGCGAGAGTTTTTATAAGCTACAAGCGACCTGTTATTTTCCACAGAAACCTCGATAAGTGGTTCGGACTTGATTTTGTAGACTGGTATTTTGATACAACTATTGTCGTAACTCGTTGGACGGAAGCGCGTGGCAGCTACAAGTATACTCTAGCTCGGGTGCAATGGGTTAAGCAGACTCCACTATATATATAAAACATATATATATATATAAAACATTAGTTTTGCCAATCAAAAATCCAGGATTACTTTGGCCTCTCTGAGTTGGCTGACGGCACACTTGCTCTCACAGCCTCCATGGCGTTTGTCAGGGGCACGGGGGGCCTGGGAACAGAGAGGTCAATGATGATAACAAGGAGAATTCACTTAAGTTTTCGTCAGAGTTTTATGGCATTTTCAAACACAATAAGGTCATATAAGTGTTGAAGACTAGACGTGTTGCAAGAGAGTAACAAACACAAAATAGGGGAGATTTAAAAAAAGTCTTAGTAAGAGTTTTACGGCACCTGCAACACAATAAGGTCATATAAGTGCCGAAGAATAGATAAAGCGTTACAAGAGAGTAACATACACAAAAAAGAAAGAGGGGAGATAAAGACGACAGATGTTTGATAGGAAAGAAGGAGCAACCCACACCAGAGCACCTGTTTTAGTGTTAGTAAGGTTTTACAGCTCTCGCAACTGCGTAAGGTCATATGAGCGCCAAGGGGTGGGTGTCAACAGAGAAGTCCAAACGGGGAATCAGGCTTACTCTGCTCACCTCTCTAGCCTCAACAGCACAAAGTCTTCTTCTACTATCAAAGCATCCCGGAAATAGCAGTTCACAAGAGAGTGACAAACATACAAAAAAAGTAGAAGAAAAATGACAATAGTAAGGATGAGGAAAGAAAAAGCAGGAGTTCCCCCTATGTTGTTCCGGCACAGTATGAGCATGACATTGATAAATCAGCCCATTTACAATTCTACTGTGCATAAGAACATGTTAATATCCCCCCTTTGGGAATGGCCTAAAGACACTTCGGTCAGTAGCACTGGCCTGGGGGGAGGGGGGGGGGGGACAATGAGAATTTATATAGTGCCTAATCCTGGATAACTTTAAGTACTGTACAATACAGAACTATCACACAACTCAACTGACCAATCAAAAGACAGAAAATGCACATCATGAGACCATCTAACAAAAACACACACACATACAAACACACACACACACACACAAAACTCCAAGACCAACACGCATTCTCACATACAAAAAAATACCAGCAGAAGATATTGCTAAACAGATGTGTCTACAGATTTTTCTTAAATCTCTCTAAGAAATCGAGAACACTACATTTCATGTCAACCAACAAACTTGGACATTTTATCTGAAATGACAAAATGTGAGGCATCGTGGTGAAAACAGGCGCTCGTCAAATTAATTAAACCAAAGAAATCAGCATTTTTCAGCCAGTTTGGAATTTTCTTTCAAACTTTTTTTTAGTCTCAACTCCTTGTATGTCCATTCAAAAAAATATTTCTGTGTGTATTTTATGGAGAAAGGTTGATTAAAGGCACACAATATGTAAATTTACAGTTTCCAAGGACTCTTGAGCTATTGAAGTTACCAAACTTTGGCGGCCATTTTCTCATTAACTGAACCACTGAAACCAGGGTACCTCACCTTCTTCAATTGCAAATAGCTCGACTTCTATTCAAGCTAAATGGATATTTTTTCCATTGAAAGCAAGGCAAATGAATAAGCTTTAAGATGATACGACTAACTCTATTTGCAAATAAATTGATGAGCGCCTGATTCCACTGCGTCGGGACATGAATGCCAAAAGTGGATAAAAGCAGCACCACAAAGCAGTCTTTCATCTTACTTGTCGTCTCCGTCTTTCAACACCGGCTGCTGTTGGGCTTTCTGGCCTGCCCCGATTGCGTGCAGGGCTCCTGTGATGGGGACTGCGGGGGACGGGGAAGGCACTGCACCCTACAGACAAAGACCAAACATTACAGCAACTGCACCCTACAGACAAAGAACAAACGTTACAGCAACTGCAGCAAACCTGCACTTATCACTACATGGAATTGGACAGAAGAGCGTGAGCCCAGATGTTGCTGGATCGATAACAACAACAACAACAACAACAACAACAACAACAGAGGAAGAACAAGGACATCAAAAATCGGTACTGGTCCGGCTTATGTTGAAGTTTGATAAAGTGCTAAAAACTATAAACATAGCAACGTGGCGTCGGTGGTCTAGTGGATAGGCTACCGAACTCGAAATCGTGAGGTTGAGGATTCGAGCTGCGGGCCCAACGCTGTGTCCTTGGGAAAGGCACTTTACACGAATGTTCCTCACTTCACCCAGGTGGGAATGTGTACCCGGCCATAGACAGCTAAAGATCTTGTCAGTATATTAGTGTTTTAGTGCCTATAAATGGCTGCTTGCACTGTATGCTTCCCAGGAAGTTGAGGTTGTTGAAGAATGCTCTCAGATCTGCTGGGGTAATAGTATAGATTGAGAAGCGCATAGAACTTGCTGTTGAGCGGGATTTGCGCTATACAAATGCTATCTATTATTAGTTGGCGACTTTTAAAAAGGAAAGCCTCATACAGGTCACAGACAAAATCCCTGGTTAATCTGCAATGACACCCCCCAATCAATAAGCTAATCATGCAGTATTACTATCATGTGCTAGTGGAGATCTGTGACAGACTTTTATTGGGCTTATGCCATATACCGGTGTGGTGTATTTGGTTGTTTTTGGTTGTGGCAGGGGGTTAGGCCTAGCCTATTGTATTGTTTGGCTGAAAGTGTGAGAGTGAGTAAAGTGTGCGTCTGTGTTCAGTTGTATTGTTTGCAAGTTGATAAAAGTCTGAGTTACTACTGGTGGGATTTTGAGAGGAGAGAGTTGTATCAAGGCAGAGGAGGCCTGCTGAAAGTATAGGTTGTGAAAAAGGCTAGTTAGAGCCTCAGTTCAGTTGTGCGTGAAGTGTGAGATTCCAATCCAACGCATTGGGGCCCCAAAGCTGCGGAAGGAATCACAACACAGAGCAGAGGAACAGGTTTGGCTAATTCCTGTTATAGTGGCATGTGACAGAAGGTTAGTATTGTAAAATCTTTGCTTTATGTTCCAAGTAACAACAACCGGTGTGTCTATTTAACCCTTCCAGCCCCAGCCATTTTTGTACACTCCCTAATCCCAGTCTCAACCAAAACAGCAGTATTTCAGAAAAAGAGGAATGCATTCTAAAATGTGATGCAGTATCTTTGTAATGAGGTTTAGATAACAACATACAACAACGTTTAAAGGTAAATGATCAAATATTTTGAAAATTAATGCTAAATTATGTTTGCTAATTTTTATTAATGTGCAAATTCTGCACCCCCGAAACTGAGAATATACGCTCTTGGGACGGTAGGTGGTACAATCGCTACTGAAAATATATGTGCACGGAGCTGGAAGGGTTTAAAACATGTTTTCTAAGAGCCATTACCCTCTGGAACAGCTCCCTCCTCTGTCTCTCCAGGTCCTGTTTCTTCAGCTCCGCCCACTGCTCAGCTTGGGCCTGGAAGAGACAACATGACGTCAGCCAGTGTCAGTAGAATTGTCGAGAATACAATTCTCTTTACCTTTGACAAGTTAGGAATGATACCAGACAAACAATTCTTTACCTTTGACAAGTTAGGAATTGTTTTGTTTTAGTAAGGTTTAACACCATCCACCCACACAGTGCGCAGAACGTGCACCACTTATCCCCACGGACCAGGATACAGGTACGGTACATGCTACATCACATCATCGCCGATCGGCGTCCCGTGGGGGCAAAGTGTTGGGCTTATGTTGAAGTTTGATAGTGCGCTCAAAACTTTTAATTACTTTAGTTAGGTTTTATGGTGCTGACAAATGCATAAGGTCATATGAGCGCCAAGGGGTGGATATCAACAGAGAAGTCAAAACGAAGAATCAAGTTTACTATGCTCACCTCTCAAGCCTCAACAGTACAAAGTCTGTTTCTATGACCACAGCACCCCGGAAAGTGAAACAGCAGTTCACAAGAGAGTAACAAACATACAAAAGAAGTAGAGGAAAAATGACCATAGTAAGGATGGGGAAAGAAAAAGCAGCAGTTCCCCATTGTTGTTCCGGCACAGTATGAGCATGACATTGATAAATCAGCCGATTTACAATTCAACTGTGAATAAGAACATGTTAATATCTCCCCTATGGGAATGGCCTAAAGACACTTCAGTCAGTAGCACTGCCCGGGGGGGAGGGGGGGTGTAATGTATGAGTAATACCAGACAATTCTTTACCTTTGACAAGTTAGGAATAATACCAGCTAATAATCCACATTGACCAAGCACAAGAATGATAACTGATAAAACAGTTGAAATTGTCCAGGACAGTAACCAATGGATGAGGAGAAATTGGTGGTCTTAGACAGGTGGGAAACACTAGAATATAAACAAGACTCATTCATTCATTCATTCATCCAGTGCCAGATCTGCGACAGACATCGGCAATCATGGTTTTCCATTCATTCCTTTGCTCGGATGCTCTTAAAAAAGCTACGTTTCCCTGACCTTTCCCCGTTACCCGTTTGTTTAGGTTCCCTAAGTAGGTTGCTCTGGGCCTACCTCTGCCTCGTTTGCCTTCAATTTTGCCAGTGAGAGCTAGATGTTCAAGACCCTTATGTCTGTTCAGGTTCTCCCTCTCCCTCTCTCTCTCTCTCTTTCTGTCTCTCTCTCTCTCTGACTTTATTCATATAAGCTTCAAACAAAGAAGCTCGTAAGTGTTACCTTCAAAGCTTCCACCTTTCTTTTTCTTTCTTCTGCTTCCTGCAAACAAAGTTTATGCCAAGAATTCAGACCATCAGTTAGTTTAGTATTAGTTTTAGTAGAGGTTTTATAGCGCTCGGAACGGCATAAGGTCACATGAGCGCCTGAAGATTAGAGGTGTTACAAGAGAGTAACAAACATAAACAAGAAGAAGGGGAAATACAGACGATAGATGTTTGATAGGAAAGAAGAAGCAAACCACACCAGAGCACCCAACAACCACCCACTAAGTGAGTTAATACAGGCACAGTGCACAACTGATCATCATATCACACGGTTACACTTCAGATAAAAAAAATCAAATCTACCATCATCGTCTTCAAACAGACTCACTCTGTCACTTCATACCCTCATCAAAACGGCTCTTTTATTAATCAGAACTAACTTTAGACAGACGGGCAAAGACTGAAAAAGAAAACATTACTTCTATAAGGCTTTTTACTTGAGTTATCCAAAGAGTTGATGCACACTAGACCAAATAAGCAAAAATGCTTCAACAGAATAATATTACTGTATTCTAAGGTATCGAATAAACAGGGGGGATAGGAATAAATGGGTAGGGAGGGGAGGGAAGGGGGGGGGGGGCACATTCAACCTCATCCCCTGTACTAGTAGGATCAAATCTGTTTTATTTCTCCTTCAGGTAATAAAAGAACAAGAGAACATGACATTTCAGTAAGTTACCGTGACAACTTTTCCCATTTAGGAACAAACCAGCTTCATAAAAAAATATAGACCAATGTACAAAAGTTTTTAAAATGCACAGATAATTGAGGTAGCCAACCTGGTACCGGTACTAATACTGAGAATAATTTGCCATTAACAACAAAAAAAAGGGTTTCATTCAGATATATAAATTCTACATATAATGTTTCACATGATCGTTGGTCGTTGTAAGCTGGAAAATAACAACGGGGGTATGGAATAAGGAGCGGGGGTGCGTGCAAAAAATCAGAAAATTATTAAGCGGAGGGGGGTGCTTATTCGATACCTTTGAGTACACACCTACAGCACAGATTATTTCTCTTATCAGCCAGAGAGTGAGTACCTAGCCAGTACAGAAGCTACTTACTTAACAAGACATTCCCACAATTAAAATTCCCATTTAGTATCTACATGTCAGGCCAAAGGGCTCATATTCAAATGACTATTGGAACGGAAAAAGCAGTATCTAAATATATACTCTTGCCCTAAAATTTTCTTTTACATTCCTCCCCTGTATGCTTTAGTAAGGTTTTTTAAAGTTTTAGTAGAGGTTTTACGGTGCTCGCAACTGCATAAGGTCATATGAGCGCCAGAAGATTCGAGGTGTTACAAGAGAGTAACAAACATTAAAAAGAAGAAGGGGAGATAAGGACAATAGATGTTTGATAGGAAAGAAGGAGCAAACCACACCAGAGCACCCATCAACCACCCACTTAGTAAGGTTTTAAAGCGCTCCCAACTGCATACGGCCATATGAGCGCCAAGAGGTGGATGTCAACAGAGAAGTTCAAACGGAATCAGGCTTACTCTGCTCACCTCTCTAGCCTCAACAGCACAAAGTCTGTTTCCACTATCAAGGCACCCCGGATATAGCAGTTCACAAGAGAGTGACAAACATAGGCAAGAAGTACAGGAAAAGTGACGATAGTAAGGACAAGGAAAGAAAAAGCAGCATTTCCTGCAAATGAATGAACCCCTGGTCGGAGTACCATGGCGTTTTTATGACCTACATGTGTTGCAAACGTGGCATCGGTGACCTACTGGTAGACTACCGGACTCGTAATCGTGAGGTTGCGGGTTCGGGGGTTCGAGCCGCAGGCCCAACGTTGTGTTCTTGGGTAAGGTACTTTACACGAATTTTCCTCACTTCACCCAGGTGGAAATGGGTACCTGGCCATAGACAGCTAAAGATCTTGTCAGTATGTTAGTGTTTTAGCGCTTATAAATGGCCGCTTGCACTGTATGCTTCCCAGGAAGTTGAGGTTGTTTCAGAATGCTCTCAGGTCTGCTGGGGTAATAGTATAGATTGTGAAGTGCATAGAGCTTGCTGTTGAGCGGGGATTTGCGCTGTACAAATGATATCTATTATTATTATTAAATGTCGTAGAACTCATACTAAAACTAAAACTGTCCATGTACCTTCCCATGATCTGGGCTCTCCGCGGCGGGAACGCCTTTCACACCTCTTCTGTCCTTCATATTCTGCATTCGGATTTGTCGCAGCTTCTCCAGATATTCCTTCGGGGAGAAAAGACAGAAGCACATCAAACTTTCGACATGTAACAGTTTTAATAAAAGTTTGACGGCAACACAATAAGGTCACATAAGTGCCGAAGATAAGAGGTTTTACAAGAGAGTAACAAAAACGAAAAAAAGAAGGTGGAGAGAGAAGGACGATAGCTTTTAATAGGAAAGAAGAAACAAACCACACCAGAGCACCATTGTTATTCATATTTTCTTATAGATCCATTTGAATGTTGCGATATCATTTACCTACTCGCTCACATTTTGGCAGTCAATAGATGTCTGGTATCAATGAGATCACTAATACGGCACCCCAAAAAAGGGGTACAAGACAAGAACAACAACAACAAAACTCCCCCACCCCCCACCCCACCACCAGAGCTGTTAAAGTACTTTTTAAAAAGTACTAAAGTACAAATGTAAGTACAATCTAAAAAATGTACTTAAGTACAGTAAAAGTACTTTCCTATAAAATGTACTTGAGTACAAGTACTTTTTTATAAAAGTACTTATGAATACATTTTGAGTACTTTCTGCTAATATGCAAAAACACTTCAGCGCTTATGCAAAACATCATATTTTATAACTTATCCAGTATATTTGACAAATTAGGCTATTTATTACTAAAAATGTAAACAGTATACAAAGCATTTGAATATACAATGTACGCACTGAACGGTGGAAATGGTCTGTGAAGTTGAACAAAAAACAACCCAAACGAACAGACGCAACTAGTGGGTAAGTGATATTATGAATAGAACTTGTTTGAGCAAGACAATGTGATCAAATGTAAGTCAGTCCTAGAGGTCGGAAAGTTCTACAGAAAGAGTATCCAAATTGAAAAATGTAGATACAAAGTTGCTCTTAAGAAAACATAAAATTGATGAAAATGGCCCACATAGAAATGGAAAAGTGCATTGAATTCTTCATTAACAAATCCTCAAGGAATCAATGTAGCCTTAAGCAAAAACCACCCAAAAAAAGTTTAAAAGAAATTTAGGCAGCCTAAAAATTGTATGATACACATTGAGAACACAGTTTCAGTTTCAATTGATTATAGTGGTCTAACAGATTTTGGTCACACTGTGTAGTCCACGGCGCCAACGGCAAACCAAAATACAATAGTTTCCTAGAGTCTAGTAAGAGTAGTGTAACCAAAGATTCTCTACTGCAGTAGTCTCCGCCTAAGATCCCAGTGCTCGGAAGCAAGGAAAATATGGGATCCTAGCCAACGAAGCCAAGGAAGAATCTACAGTGACCCATGAACTGACGTGACCCTTGGGTGGATTTATGACATGGCAAGCAAAGAGTGGTCAACCTTGATGACCAATCACAGTGGCATGAGGCATGCCATAAATAATATTATATATACACACTCATTAGCCTATCGTGAGTCTTGAGATCTTTATCTACGTTTATCCAGTTGCCCCTCCCCTTTACCTGTCCAACAATTTTAGCTTTCCATCTCTGATTGAGTCCCCCCCCACCCAACCTCCTTTGTCGTTACGCACCATTACGATGTGACCACACTAATTAAAATTCAGGTTGTCTCGCAAATTCGGGAAAAACTGCTTTCAATGGTCAGGGAAGAGTTCACAGTTTGATGTGATCCCGCCTGGAGCGAACTTGTAGGCCCTACCCACCCAGGGAGTGATGTAAGTTTAGGTGGTGAGGTCAGATGCGAGTGCGATGTTTGGGGAAAAGAAACGCATCGGTCAGTTCACACCTTGGTGTGATCTCGTCTGGAGCAAACACTGTACCGTTTCAAGGAGTTTTACAACGCTTGAGATCACATTCACGATAGTGGCTGATCTTTGAGGCGACGGGCCGTTCTTTGATCTCAACTTTTAACTCTTGGCGGTTGATCGGGTTTTTGTTCCGTAAATTATGATCAGAAATGCCTGCACTTACCCTTTCATTAAGCTACCAAAGTACTCAAAATGTACTTTAAAAGTACTCAAAAGTACTTTTATAAAAAGTATCGGAGTACAGTAAAAGTACTGGTTTAAAAAATGTACCGGAGTACAGTAAAAGTACCGAAAATTGTAACGTAAGTACAAGTACCGGAGTACTTGTACTCCGTTACTACCAGCTCTGCCCACCACCACCACACACACACAAGAACAGCCAACGAGCCTCACCTGTTCCTCAATGTTTCTCACAACCATGGCGCCTCCGCCACCTCCTCTCCCTCCACGGTTTCCTCCTCCTCCTCCTCCTGCCCAAGCTCCTCCCCCACCCCCTCCGTCCCCTCCTCCCCCTCTCCCTGGTCCAGGCTTAGGACTAGGACCTCTGTCTGTGAAGAGAAATATGAGAGCATAATAGACAAAAAGGACAGAGGAAACAGTTACATTACTAAAAATTTTCATTAAATAATAATTTCGAAAAGAAAAAAACCCCCATACATTTTCTCATATTTATTTCCCTATTTTTAGACATTCACACTTTAGGAATCAAGAAGGTTTTTTTTTCATTTAGAAATATTAGGAAATCTCAAGTGGGTATTTGAAGGTAGCCACAGATAATTCTTCTTCTTTACTTCCTCTCTGTTGTTTCTGACTATCTGTCTTGCCAGCTCTAAGTGACATTTTTAAATAACACATCTCCAGTCCAATTCAGTACCAGAACTCATCTTGTTCCTCAATGAATGTACTTTTTCTTCACATCTCATACCACTCTATAAATGACACAGATGGAAAAGAATTTTTTTAAAGTGTTAGTACGAGTTTTACTGCACTTGCAAAACAAAAAAAGTCATATACTTGCCGAAGACTAGAGGTGTTACAAGAGAGTAACAAACACAAAAAAGGAGGAGAGATCAGGACAATAGATGTTTGATAGGAAAGAAGGAGCAAACCACACCAGAGCACCCACAAACCACCCACAAAAGAAAGGAAACAACTAGACAAGTACAATGTAGTACATTCCAAAGGCGGAAGAATTGAGAGAAGGGGAGGGAATAAAAGTGTGGGTGGGTGAGAAGCTGGGAGAGTTACACGTTTACGAGGCTGAAAAAGCCCTAGGAAAAGAGAACCCAGCAAGAGAACATAACCACTGCTTGGTGTAAGACCCCATCATACCTCAGTTTTCTCATGGCAGTCCTACACTGAGCATTCAATATGTAGCTCGACGTGGTGGAATCAGGTGCTCGTCAAATTTTGGGCAAATGAGTTTATTGATATCATCTAAAACTTGTTCATTAGCCTTGCTTTTGGAGAATAAAATACTCTTCTATGTCGAATAGAAGTTGAGATATTTGTGAATGAAGGAGACGGGGGTGGCCAGGTTTCAGAGGTATAACTAGCGAGGAAATGACAGCCAAAGTTTGTTGATTTCCAAAGCTTGAGAGTCACCGGAAACTTAAAATTTACATTTCTTGTGCATTTAATCAACGTTTTCCGGTAAAATCCACATAAGAATGTTCTTAAAAGGACATAAAGATGTTGAGTCAAAAAACAAAAATTTGAAAAAAATGGTCAAACTGCGGAAAAAAGCCAATATCATCGTTCTAATTATTTTGACGAGCGCCTGATTTCCCCTGTATGCCTCACATATCCACTGCCAAGTGTAAGACCCCATCATACATCACTTCTCTAATGGCAGTCTGACCAAGCATTCAATATGATGTATGGCTCTTTTCGTCTATGCAGACGGTCAATTTAACTTAAGATGGTCTCAAGGTTGTCTTCAAGTAGCTTCTTTCATGGCTAATTCTTCCTATGTTTAAAGCACAGATTCTGTCGCAGTGCTTGCATGTCAGAGAGGTGGATCGAAGATCTGTATTTCTGCTGTTACTATAACATAAACAGGCCGGGGTTCCTAGGCTTTTAATTCAGATTTCCTCCCACTTATCTACCACTTGATTGTATAAGACACGTTTAAACAAGTGAACTCAGACGATACAAACATCTCGCGACTTCAGAGCTTTCTTGTCAAATCTCCACGTTTAATAACAGTGAAAACAGTTCATAACAAAGAGTGAACTTAAGACGAAGTCACATTTTCACTGTTTTAAAAAAATGGAGATACAACAAGAAAGCACTGAGGTAGCGATATGTGGAGACAACTCACTGGGGGCCGGCACTGGAGTCCTCATTCCTGACCCGGGTCTCTGAGAGGGGGGAGACAAAAATACGTCAGTGAATGGACAATAGAATTAATCTTGTCGTATGTCATAGGAAAAGAAGATGAGTCGAAGAATACTGTTTAGTGATGATGTTGAAACTTGTTTCTTTTATATATTACGGTCACTTTTAAGCACAACGGGGCTATCCCGAAAAATGCTGTTTTGAGAAAATCGAAGTAAAAGTTTTTGGACTCTTATTCAGTTTCTTTAAAAGACAAGGAGAGTTTTCTCTATAACCAAACAAATAATATACACACCAAAGAAACCAAACTTCTCCTATAGGTAGGGCAATTCCCACTTTTGGTGTCGGTCAAGATTTCTGAAAACCCCCGAAATCTAGATTAGCAAGCTTGTCCTTAAAAGTGACCAATTGATCTTGTCGTACGTTATTTGAAAATAAGATGAGTCGAAGAATCATGTTTGGTGATGATGTTGAAACTTCTTTCTTTTATATATTATGGTCGTTTTTAAAGACAAGACGGCTAACCCAATTTTTCTTGCATATTGATGGTCCACATCACCTGCGATCTGATAAAACACATTTTTCTTCCAGAGATTGACAAAAAATTCGTTTCACCAGATCACAGTTGATGTGGCCTTTCCCTTGATCTCTTCCCCCGTGGATCACATCCAACACTACACTCACTTCCTAAGACCCCAGTTCTACATTTAAGTATTCAAGTAAGTATTCCCCTAGACCTGTTCCCCCCGTGGATCAGACCCAACCCTCCACTCACCCCAAACAGATCCCTCTGCTGCCTCATCTTGTTGAGCGCCGCCTCCTTTTGTCTCTGGATGTAATCCTCCACCACTCTCGCCCTCTCTGCCGCCTGAGCGCCTTTTTGCCTGGAGCAAAATCAGAAGCCGCATAAATGTTTTAGAGTGAACACGTGGTGCAAGAAATTCGTAAAACATCATTTTTTGCACACATGGTGTAAGAAATTTGTTAAAAATAATTTTTAACGTGATATAATTTGACATAAAAACTCATTAATTTTTTCAATAAATTTATCGGCATAATGATGCACAAAACAAAAACTGAAACGTAGTTTTATTATAAATTGTGCGTCTCCTTAAACAAAATTGTAAAAACTTATATCAGCTTACTGATACTACAGAGCTACTCTAGCAATGTGCAAGTAAACACTGACATGATTTGAACAAACCTATTTAAGGGTTCGTCAGTGGCTTTCAGTATTTGGTTATGAAAATTTGGGTTTTTCATCTGAGTAAAATTAAGGAATTTTTCCGGCACTAAATGAAAAGCAAGTGGGCCATGTTGTTTTTTTCTTTAACACATTGCCGTCACATCTCGCCAATCGGCAATATTTACTACCCAGTTTCCTTGGATTTTCCCCACAATGCCTTTGCCTTTGATGGTAAGGGTTTTTACTATTTATGAGCCTTGTGAGGGCAAAGTGTTATTGTCGGTGTATAGCACCTTCGTCAACACAATTTTGTTCATTTTTCTTTCTTTTTTGGGGGGGGGGGGGGGAGCGCTTCTGACCGTGTTCTTCAGGCCTAATCTGGGCTAAAAGGGAGCAGGAGAAAGACCAAGATACTCTATGAATAAAACTTTCTCTCCCCCTCAAACTCCAGTCTTCCGCATGCCACAGTGAAGTGCCTAACCACTGCGCCAGACGCCAGTGTGGGTTCAGTGCATTCATTCCTGTAGTTATAAAGAAATTTCTAGAGCTTTTGTTCGTATAATGCAGAAATAAAAGACTCGACACAGGAGGTCGCAGGCAATATTGCATACAGACGTATGTCATTCTTGGCAACTTTTGAGATACATCGGTATGCAATACTGCCCGCGAGGTGCACGCATTGAAAGACATTTTTGTTATTTTGAACTGAAATGTTTCACATACTGTTCCTGTATACATGGCTCATTGACTTCAATACACTGACAAAATACAGTTGAAGGGATCAGTACCAGCAAATACAAAGTTTTTCAAGCAGTCAAAGAATCTCTCTGTTCAACAAGGGGAAAAGAGAAAAAACCTGGTGCCCACGAGAGTGAGAGAGAAAGAAACATATAGCATGCATTTCAGTCTGCTGCTGCTTAATTCTTTATCTCCGTGGGGGGGAAACTCACTATGCCGGGCCCTATTTTGGCACGAAATCTAAAACACGTCATTCAAATGGTCATTAAATAAAAAAAGTGAACCAATTTTGATAGTTCTTCATCTCTAGTGAATGATCTCCGGATAAAAAAGACTCGTTTTGGGCAGTTGCTGAAAAGTAATTTGATGTCCACGTCATTGTAAAGAAACGTGCACCAGCCACTGCCAGTGGCTCACCGCCAGTGGTTTCAACAGTGAGTCGCTGTGAGTGGCTTGCTGGAGATTCACTGAGCAAAAAAAAGGGCATAGCAATTTCAACAGTACGACATTCAAATCAATATTGGACGAGACCGTGGGGACTCAGACACAGGGTACGTGATTTGGGAGTTTGAGGTCGCTCCCCCTGAGGCGAGGGGATACAATATTATATATAAATTGTGCCCTATCGACTCGGGTTCAAGGATCCTGCGTCAGAATTTCCGCAAGTTTAATAGGATGCAAAATGAACATTCGGGGTAAAAGATCAGGGAGTCAAAAGCTGCATTTTTAAAGTTCATAATCAGTTTGCCAACTCACTACCTACAATCCTTTTACAAATACCCCAATATACCTGTCACTATTCTGTCTTCCCACTTAGCTCCTCTCTACACTTGTCTTGGCCCGCTAGAATAGGCTAACACTAACAATGTCACCTTAGCAGAGACTGTGCCCACCATTTCGAAACTTCACGGTGACATTAAAGATGGTTCCAGTGGGGAACGGGATAGAGGGTGCCCACGTCCCTCGTGACTCATTGGAGTAGAGGAAGATAGGACTAACATTAACATTACTTAAACGCAATCCCTCATCATCACTCATCACCACCATTTTTTTCAAAAATCATCATTGCTCTCAGATCAATGACTTACATCTACAATGATTGAATCTCTATCTGTAACAGTTACTTGTCATACTAAGTATGCACGTAATACACTATTCGACACTATCATACGCACTTTTTTCTACTAATCAGATGGCATCAATCTCATATAATAATCCAAGAACATGACATTGAACTTCACTCAGTGAACGTTAGTTCATTTGACACAAACAGCGAGGAGTGTTTATAGCCACTGCACACACACACAAACATTATCCAACACCCAAAAAATTAAAAAAAACTAAAATCCAGAAATACCACCGAAAAAACCCAACATGAAATTATGACAAAAGTCTCAGTTCTTACCGAGCCCTGAGAAGCATGGAAAAAACGTGTAAGATATAAAAAACATTATCCATCTGACATCCTTATCATTTTGATAACATAACACATAATGACATTTTTCAACCCTCAATTATAATCTTTCCAGATTATTATGATCCATTCACTGAATTACTATCTATCTGACATCCTTATCATTTTGATAACATTACACATAACAATATTTTTCAACCCTACATTATAACCTTTCCAGGTTCTAATCCATTCATTGAATTACTATCTATCTGACATCCTTATCATCATTTCATACTTTATCACTTGTAGGCTGCCATTACACAGGCACCTCACAGGTTCCGTCAATGTTTCCAGACAAGTTTCAAATACATGAATTCAAAGTTGCACTTTTGTAAAATATTTGAAACCTTTCTTTTTTCCTGTGTGGAAAACTTGATGCTGCCCAGGTTGGCCCAGCCTCTGCCCATTGCCACCCCCCCCCACCCCCCCCCCCACCCCCCCCCCACCCCCCATCTCCAGGTTATCTGAGTTTGAGTTGGAGACCATGGTCTTATAGAAAAAAAAAATCTGACAGCTCCGTGATATCCCAAAGCTGTGGACGGACGCCGTAAATCACAAACTCTCAACACTTGTACATGCCACACAGAACTGTGCTCTACTCTCATCATCTCTTCATGCCCCTCAACTCCAGAGAGATAAAACAGATTTAACACATCATGAAACTTGCAACAAACTAAAAATCAACATGCTTGAAATCAACTTTTTGTACCGTTTCGTATATCTTTTTCGTCTGAGCCTGGAACATTGGAAAAAACACGAAATAATCTGTGATAGGCTTCACGCAGAGGCATTACATTCAGAATTAGATTATTAAAAGAACCTAACTCGCAATGTAATAGAAACAAAAAGACTGAACAGCTCCGTGAAAGCTATCATACAGCACAGAATGCTGATATTCATAACACAATTCACAGCAAAGTCATCATCCTCGCCTTTCTCACCCTGCACCAGGGTATAGGCCATGGACAAACACTTTCATAATAAAGTGGCAACAAACATTTCACTCATCAAAGAGACCTTACTGAGCTTTCTGACAGTTTCATTGTTTTTTTTTTTACTTTTGAATTTCGAAGAAAAACAATTTTTTTTTACAGAATCCCTCCATAACCATAAAAGACAATTACACAATAGATGAAATTATTTGTAGATAGAAAATAACACCTCAATAATAATATAACACTTCGATCTCAATAGATATACTTAGTTTAACTTGGTCAACCCCACTGACACTACAAGAGAAGCTGTACGGCCAACAGATGAACTGAGCAGGACGGCCCAGTATATGACAGATACTGGACTTCATGTGTGATACTATCGAGAAGAAGAATCCTTTGTTTCTTATTTATTTCACTCCTCCAAAATGGAAAGGGATAAAGTGAAAGAAATTCTGTATAAAATTTTTAAAATGGCTTCAATAAGAACATGAAGTAAACCAGTGAATCAACCATACAGAAAACGTAACTCTTTCCTACTAAATCTACCCTCTTTTTTCCTTTATAACCTTTCTTCTCCATGCTAGTGAAACTTTTTAATGCTTACTGTCAATGAGAATTTTTATTCAACGCTTTTGTACTTCAATCTTTTTTGTTTTCTCTTTTCGTTTAGTAAGGTTTTACGGCACTAACAACTGCTTAAGGTCATATGAGCGCCAGCTTTCTCTTTGGTACCTACCATGTATACTAAATTTGATAAAATAAGTAGTGAAATTTGTTCCCCTATCAGTCCCTTCTACCTTTCATGTTCACAAACTACTGGTCTGTGCAACCCTCTGGCATGCAAAGACTAAACAAAGCACATTTATGTTGACTTTACAATAAAGACGAAACAAAGCACATTTATGTTGACTTTACAACAAAGACGAAACAAAGCACATTTATGTTGACTTTACAATAAAGACTAAACAAAGCACATTTATGTTGACTTTACATGCAAAGACTAAACAAAGCACATAATATGTTGACTTTACAATAAAGACTAAACAAAGCACATGCTGACTTTACATGGAAAGCAAACTACTTCACTACAATGGCAAAAGAAGATAACTCAAGGATATTTGTATTCAGAATCAGAAAGCAAATTAATTCATATTGAACTTGAGAAAATATTGGGGGAAAACGTGGGAGAAGAATACTTGACTCCATGCTAGATTTGTTGACAATTCTGTCCTGATCTTGATAATGAGTACAGCAAGCTGGTAACGTTTGATGGATGGTAAATTGTGCAGCAAGCAAACAGTGCGGGTGAAAGTTCTACGAGTTGGAAGGACAGAATTAGAAAGCATCCACAGAACAGCCCAATTTGTCAACATTAAACGTGAGTGTCTTTGTGGCTCAAAGAGAAGAGGGGAGATACTAACTTATAAACTTAAAAAAGATCTTCAAAATTATGGAACCCTTATCCTTGAAAAAAAACTGCATTTGCCTTCTGGGTACAAAAAATAGGTTTTATTGAATCACAAACATTGCAGGCACTGAATCCTTATATTCCACTCACTGCTTACATGTTTAAGCTCTTGGAAAGAGATTTCATAAATTTGTACAATAAAGATATTATATATAACATGCAAAAATTTCAATTTTTTCTGAAAAGTATTTATTTGAACACTGTCATTTCCTTTTTAGAAAATCCAGCAAAAGCAAATTAGAACAAAAGACTTGAAATCGGATTGCATAATTTGTCTAACACAACTCGGCTTACGTTAGAAAAAAAAAATTATCATATTACATTTATAATATTAAATTTGAAAATTTTTTTATTTAGAACCAGATAAAACAAACAGAAATCAATCCAAATCAGTCCTTCGTAAACTTTTCATTTCCTTAACAAATGTGCAATACAAGGGCTGGCACCAGTTTTGTACTGACTTACAAGAACGCTTTACTTTTCAAAATGAAACAAACAGAATTGGTCACTTTTACGCACAAGGGGACTATCCCGAAAAATGCTTTGTTGAAAATACCAAAGGTAATGTTTTTGCCCCTTGTTCAGTTTCTTTAAAAGACACGGATAGTTTTCTCTATAACCAAACAAATATACACATCAAAGAAACCAAACTTCTCCTATACGTAGGGCAATGCCCACTTTTGGAGTAGGTCAACATTTCTGGAACCGCCCCCGAAATCTGGGTTAGCCCACTTGTCCTTAAAAGTGACCAATTGTAGTAATTAGAACAACAAGAGTAAAGAGCAGCCCCTGACCATCTGTGCACCAACTCACACACTCTTTAGCTTTACACCACTGTACGGTACAAATTCAGAGCGAAAGTGACACGTGTATAGCTATGGACCAGCTTGGGGGTCTTTTCTTTTCCCTTTTACACTTCAAGATCAGCTTTAGCTTGAAATTTGACAATCTTTTAACCCTATTCGTACATCGTGTTTTACTATCGTATCCATCTGACGTGGGGAACTCTGTGCCACCACTCTTCCGAGAGGAAATTTACTCGTTAATCTGATCCGTACACTTTGCATAGCAGTCTGTCAAAATGACTTTTTGAGAAATACTGAAAGCTGCTAAGATATCTTCACTCGAAATATTCTAAAATATGAAGAATACAACCCCGGAGGTACAAAATGACCCCAGGGCATACGGATAGGGTTAAGTTCGAGGGGCTGCTCTTTCACTTTTGTTGGGCAGGACTTCAAACCAAAGGCAAGAAGAAAGATCAAACCAAAGGAGGAGGGAGAGAAACCAAAGAACTGCAGCGGTTAAATGTGGATATGAAGTTTCACACCAATATGAAACTTACATATTGTAGCTATACCTGTCTCTGCCGGCCTGGTCCAGAGCAGCAGGGACCCCCATGGGGCCCATGAATGGTGGCGGGCCGGGTGTTGGACGCATCTGAGGGGCGGGGCCTGCTGGGAGGGGGCGCGGGGCTGCCATGTGCACAACTGGCCACACAAAACACAAATACAGTTCATATTTCTACTTCACCGTTTTAACCTTCTGTGGGTTTTTAATTCTTTAGGGTCAGAAGCAACACAAATACAAGGGACGATTTAAGGAGCCTTCTTTGATTTAATGATGATAATAATAATAATAATAATAATAAATAGCATTTACGCTGCGCATTTCTATTTTCTAAAAAATGCTCAATGTGCGTTACATCAAAAAAGACATCACATCTTAAAAATTAATCGACATGTGTTAACAAGAGTTTAACTGTACTCGTAACATAATAAGTTCGGTTAAGTTTTAGTAAGATTTTTATGGCACTTGCAACACAATAAGGTCATATAAGTGCCAAAGATCAGAGGTGTTACAAGCTAGTAACAAACACAAAACAGAAGGAGGAAAGAAAAGGACGACAGATGTTTGATAGGAAAGGGAGAAAACCACACCAGAGCACCTACCAACCACCCACTTTTAACCTCCTGTGGTTTTTAACTGCTTATGTCAGAAGCAACACAAATACATGGGAAGGTTTAGGAGCTTTGTTTCTTTAAATAAGACTTTTACTGTACTTGCAACACAATAAGGTCAGTTTAGTTTTAGTAAGTGTTTTACAGCACTTGCAACACAATAAGGTCATATAAGTCAGTTTACCGTCCACATGGTTCGCATTACGAGCTTGGGGGGGTTGCACGGGGGACGGAGTCTGCCGATCACGCTGAAGTTTTCCGATAAATTCGTTGTACGCCTCGTAATTGCCTCGGTCTCTCTGATCTCTTTCATTAGGCTGTAGGGACATCGAAAGAGAAAAAAACATTTGTGTCACGACGTGGTGTAATCAGGTGCTCGTCAATTTTTGGGCACGTGGAGTTATTGGTATCATCTAAAATCTTGTTCAATTGTCTTGTTATCAGTGAAAAAAATACCCATCTATCTTGAATAGAAGTCAAGATATTTGAGATTGAAGAAGGTGGGGTCGACTGGTTTCAAAGGTAGAATTAGAGAGAAAATGGCTGCCAAAGTTTGGTTACTTCCATAGCATGATAGTCCGTGGAAACTGAAAGCTTACATTTTTGGGGCCTTTAATCAACGTATTTCAGTAGAATTCCCCAAGAAATGTGCTCAGAACGTGTTTTTTATTGAACAACAATTGTGTTAAGGCAAACAACAAAAATTCGATAAAAAATGATAAAACTGGCAGAAAAATGCCAGTTTCTTCAATTTCATTATTTTGACGAGCCCCTGATTTCACCACACTGCCTCACATTTAATATTTTAATATAAGAAGATAAAGCATTCTACAACTGACACTGAGCGGTCAATTTTAGATATCTTTTTTTTTTAAAGTAAAAAAGGGGGGAGGGGGGGAGGGGGGAGAAAAAGAGTAAGGTCCACATAGGGATGGGAATGAAGGATGGAGGGATTTGCCACCATAGGTCTCAAAGGAGGAGAGAGGAACTAGCGACAAACTGATTTTCCTACTAATTACCAATAAGCAAATAATGTTGTTGATGGCCTATGCTCCACTGGGAGTTAAAAAGGGCAGGAGAGAGAGAATATAATCTCACATCTATACTATAAAGAAGAACTTACAAGCAATCTTTGAAAGCAAGAGGTCCGCAAAGTAATCTTCATGATATAAATACTCATCACTGCAAATAAAATTAATTTCCAATCAACTAAACTGAGCCTCAAGATTTACAAACAGGCACTGGATCATTCTTCTTTTTTTTTCCACCAAAATGTTTTGAAACACCTCACATTGAGATAAAAGTCCAAAATTTGAAACAGAGTAATCTTGGCAATGTCAGACAGCGCTTTGAAAGGCCTTGAAGATGTAGAAAACCAGGAATCTCCATGAATCAATAAAGGAAGTACATTTCCAGATAGACAGAGCTAACTTACCCATCTCCTCCCCAAAACTTTTCATACCAACACTGCTTTAACTCTTTAACCCCCATCGGATGCTGTGTCGTCCGACACTAGTGACAACTGTTTTGTTTCATTTAGTGCTACTGTTTGCTGGTTTTTCGGAACTATTCCCGATCCAAGTTTCTGCCATTTAGAAGTTGGCGGCAAGTTCAGATTGTGTTTTTAGAAGTTTTAATGAGACATAGTGCACCAGGTGTAGGTGACTGTAGAAAAAACTGGGAAACGGTGGAAAAAACTCAGGGTTTAAAGAGTTAAAGAACTGCTTTATCTTTTGAACTACAAAAATTTATCCAACAAAGCCTTGACCAAAATTCCAAGGCAGCAGGAAAAGTAAGTAAAATAAGCGACTAAAAAATCTTAGCAAAGTTTTTTAAAAATACAGGACCAACATCAGGCTGACAAAACAGCTTGTTAAATTATTTGTTATGAATTAAACGATATTTATTACTAATACTGAGAACTTGTCAAATTATTCGTTATGAATTAAACAATACTTATTACTAATACTGAGAACTTGTCAAATTATTCGTTAAGAATTAAACAATACTTATTACTAATACTGAGAGCTTGTCAAATTATTCGTTATGAATTAAACAATACTTATTACTAATACTGAGAACTTTCTACTTGCATTTCACTAAATATTCATCTAATGTTAAACCTTAATAAATTGTACAGTCTGCAAGCAGTGAAAAGCTTTAAGGAAAACTTTCAAACGACAAAAACCGTAAGTCAATTCTTACTATCCTCATCCAGTACATATACATCTTTGACGAGCTCTGAACTTACCCTTGGCACAGGTAAAGGTCGGGGAGATTTGGGTCTCATCTCATTGGCCGCTCGATTCTATGAACAAACAAATTATGTTAGGAAATGACTTGGAAAGTTTAATATTTTCACAAAAACCTGTCTACTTTGAGAAATTTTGAACAATTCAAAAAAATGACAGAGGTTTACTGAATATAGTTTTAAGATTAACACCTTCGGGACCACCAAGGTATCCCACCGAATCGGACTACCGATGTATATTTACGCGATGGCAATGCCACTCACTGAAGCCAGTCCCGTTTTATTCAAAACTATCCATGTTTTCCAACTGCTTGTTCAAGCATAGAAGAGTTCTTTCCCTTCGAATTCACCGAAGTTGAAACCAGTTTGAGTTGATTAAAAGTGAAAAAATATCTTCGAAACGAGTACATGTATTGACAAGGGATGTGGGCGATGGCTTCGGTCCTGGGGATAGGATCAGCTAGTGTGGGGCCGGTCCCGAAGGAGTTAAGCCACATCTGACACATTCTGTCTCCTTGTTTCAGTTAAAAGGAATCCCAATTACACAATAATTTATGATAATAAAAATGATGATGATGATGATGACAAAACACAGCATCGCTCAAAAGCCTGCATGCTCAAGGACATTTTCAACCAATTCCCAAAAAGTGAGAGGGTTTCTAAAAAAACTTTTGTTAAAAATGGCACCTCAAATAAATTCTGTATCCTTGTTTTGGTTCAAAAGACACCGTATATGAGATATGCACAATTTCGAATTTATAAAAAGTGTGGGTGAAGGGATGGGGGGGGGGGGGGGGGGATGGGGGGGATGGGGGGGATGGGGGGAGTGTTGATCCACTGAAATAATTTCAGCAAAAACTTCCACATCCAGCTTCACCGTCATATATTATGTTCTATCTACAAACAAGACTGTTCTTTTTCCCATTTATCTCCTTCAGTGAAAATAAAATAGAGGTAACAGAAATGTGGTTACTTAGGAGACTGCTGAGAATATCGTGGAAGGAAAAGAAATCAAATGAGGTAGTGCTTGATAAAGCCCACGTGGGACACTCACTGTTCAAAACAATCAGGAAACGACAAATGCAATTTTTGGAACACCTGAATAGACATAAAGGTCTTGAACATCTAGCTCTCACTGGCAAAATTGAAGGCAAACATGGCAGGGGTAGGCCCAGAGCCACCTACTTAAGGAACCTAAACAAAATTAAATGGGTAACGGGGAAAGATCAGGGAAACGTATCTTTTTTAAGAGGATCCGAGCAAAGGAATGAATCAAGAACATGATCGCGAATGTCAGTCGCAGATCTGGCACTGAATGATGATGATGATGATGATCTCCTTCACCCCAACCACCGCCCCACCCCCTCCTTTACCTCATCCACTCTTGCCTGATCAACAAGATTCCTCCAGCCGTCTTCTCTTGCTTTGTTTATTCTAGCGACCTGAGCACAAAAAGAAATACATTGAGATATATTAACTCAGCTTTCCAATAAAGGTAAGATCATCTTAGCCATTATTCTAAACACAAGATATTTATCTTGGCATATTTTATTTAAGACTATTAACAGAGCTTTCCAATAATGGTATAAGATCATCTGAGCCATTATTCTAAACGAAAGATATTTATCTTGGCATAGGTGTCACGACGCAGTGGAATCAGGAGCTCGTCAATTTTTGGGCATGTGAAGTTTTTTGGGATCATCTGAAAGCTCAATCATTTGCCTTGTTTTCTATGAAAAAAAACACCCATTTAACTTGAATAGAAGTCGAAATATTTGTGATTGAAGGAGATGAGAGTAGCATGATTTCAGAGGTAAAATTATTGAGAAAATGGCCTCCAAAGTATAGAAACTTCTATAGCTTGATAGTCTTTGAAAACTGAAAATTTACATAGTTTGTACCATTAATCAATGTTTTTAAGTAAAAGTCACATAGAAATGTGTTTATATGGACATAAAAGGTGTTGAGCCAAAAAAACACAAATTTAAATTGCCAAATTGGAGGAAAAATGCCTGTTTCTTCTATTTCATTATTTTGACAAGCGCCTGATTCCCCCACAATGCCTCACATATATTCAAGAATATTAACAGAGCATTCCAATAATGGTAACATCATTGAAGCCATTATTCTAAACGAAAGATATTTATCTTGGCCTATTACCTGTCAGACCAGTCTGAACTGACCGTCAATGATATTCTGGCAAAACAGTCTAGTCTAAGATAGCTTTTTTTCTTTTGTTAGAACTCAGCTTCATGAACAAAAAACAAACAAACATTTTATTAAAGAGAAAAATAATAAGTTTCTTGAGAACACATAAACTTAAAAAAACTCACCTTCTGTTTTTCTATGAGATCTTTATGCCTCCTTTCATTCATTTCTTGTTCCTTCAAATCAAAGAGAAATGGTTCAAGTATGAGACAGACAAAATACATAATATTTTCTCAACTTCAAATTTCCCCTTGTTTTCCATATATAAAACAAATCCCCATATCCGCAAATAAAAAAAAGCAACTCCTTTCTAAAAGAACTTTGCAAAACTTCCTTCACTGACTTTAAGTTGAACAAATTCACTTAAATCTCATTCCATATTTTTAATATGGACAAAATAATAAGACTAACTACAAGAGAAAAGTGTTTTTAAATCAGGAAACTCTGATCTTATTTTACAAGATGGTTCATTCATCTATTTGAGCAGCTTAAATAATTTACCCTCACAAGTGCCAGTGGCGACATCTATTATACCATGTAACTAATTTTATTTATCTTGTTTAAAAGCAAAAACAAACTTCTGTTACCCGTCTCCTCATTTCTGCCCTTCTTCTCTGCTCCGTCTCTTTCCGGTCCTTCTGCTTCTTCTCCCAATCCTGAGGAAAAAGGAAAACAGACCTTCTTGTTTCATACAACGAGAACAACACTTTTAAAATATTAGCTCTTTGCAGACTCATCGAACACATTTGTCCGACAGGCTACGCTAGACGACTCTGAGTCCGACACATTTTAAGGATTCCTAGGGTACATATCCTAAGGGATACAAGTCCAATAACTAGGGAAATAAAAGTTTAGCCATTTTTACACGTTTATCCCTTTGACCATTGACTAATTGAACTGACGCTGTTTTTCGAAGTGTTTTTGTTCAAGTCATAAGCGCATTGAGAATCGAAAGTACAACAGAAAATAGCAGCGTCCAGGAGAAGACTAACGGTTTTTGATGCGCTTGAAATTGTGATGGAAGATGGATCTGACGAAGCAGATGGAGTAGTTGTTGATTTAGAAAGTGAAGCTCGTAGTTCTTTAGCAGACCATGGTTCTCCTGATCCAGCTGATGAGGAAAAGGTGGGTCTACTTGTGCCTGGAGGAGTTTTTTTTTAAATGATCTGATGGACCACTTTTTCTTCAATAAACTCCATCAAAGCTATTGCTTTATTAGCTAAAGGATGCTAACACCTAAAAAGTTCTATTGTTCTACTTTCTATAACAGAAAATTGCTTTGTTCTATCTCTATAAGTAATGTTTTTATGGGCCCCTAAAAAAAGGCTAAAATTCATGTGTCACCAGCTAAAGCAGCTGTCTCTAACCCTGTCTGCAAAGAGTTAATATCCCCCCTTTGGGAATGGCCTAAACACAACTTCATTCACTAGCACTGCCCTTGGGAGGGGCAGTCACTGCTTGGTTTCACGACAGAACAGAAACAAAGTGATGTGAGAAACTCACAGCTTGTCCTGGGACGGGCGGCCCTTGTCGACCTGGGGTGCTGGGTCGTTTCTTCTGGTCGCCAGACAGTCTGAGAATACATGGAGGGTTTGTTTGTTTGAGTCAGAGTTTTACAGCACTTGCACCACAATAAGGTCATAAAAGAGCCAAAGATTACAGATGTTGTAAGAGAGTAATAAACACGAAAAAAGGAGAAGGAGAGATAAGGACGATAGATGTCTGATAGGAAAGAATGAAGAGAGATAAGGATGATAGATATTTGATAGGAAAAAAGGAGGAGAGATAAGGAAGATAGATATTTGATAGGAAAGAAGGAGGAGAGATAAGGATGATAGATAAGAAAGAGCAAACCACACCAGAGCACCGACAGTCTGAGAATACAAGAAGGGTTTCCGACAATACGAAAAATGGGGGGGGGGGGGGAGAAAGAGAGAGAGTGAGAGAGAGAAAGAGAGAGAGAGAGAGAGAGAGAGAGAGAGAGAGAGAGAGAGAGAGAGAGAGAGAGAGAGAGAGAGAGAGAGAGAGAGAGAGAGTGAGTGTGAGAGAGATAGAGTGAGAGAGAGAGAGAGACAGAGACACGCTCACCTGTTGCGTGAGGCACTCACTGATGCCCCGTAGACAGCCGCCGGGTCGTACTTCCTGTTTGCTGACCCAGGTCGGGGGCTGGGGCCGGCTTTTTTGGAGGGATCTGACAGAAGGTAAAGAACAATGATAATCATCATTAGTAGTAGTAGTATAATAATTATGACGATGATGATGATGATGAGGATGTTGATGATAAGAAGAAGAAGAAGAAGAAGAAGAAGAAGAAGAAGAAGAAGAAGAAGAAGAAAAAAAAGAAGAAAAAAAAGAAGAAGAAGATTAATAATAATAAATTATTGCAATTTTGACTCAACGATTCTGATTGACCTTTCCTCTCCACTTTTCCGTCATGAACTCACCAGCGGATGGCTTGGGGGCTGGGGGTAAGGCCTTGGCAATCTTGTGCCCGTGCATCACCGTGTGGCTGAACTCATCTGCCAGATCCTGCACAGAAAGAGATCAACAACAAACAACCTTGTTGAATCAACACAACTCTGTTCATTTACTGCTTAGTTTTAGTAAGGTTTTACGGTGCTCGCAACTGCATAAGGTCACATGAGTGCCAAGGGGTGGATGTCAACAGAGAAGTCTAAACGGGGAACCAGACTTATTCTGCTCACCTCTCTAGCCTCAACAGCACAAAGTCTGCTTCGACTATCAAGGCACCCCGGATATAGCAGTTCACAAGAGTGTGACAAACATACAAAAGAAATAGAGGATAAAGACGATAGTAAGGATTATGAAAGAAAAAGAAGTTCCCCCTATGTTGTTCTGGCACAGTATGAGCATGACATTGATAAATCAGCCAATTACAATTCTACAGTGCATAAGGACATGTTAATATTCCCCCTTTGGGAATGGCCTAAAGACACTTCAGTCAGTGGCACTGCCAGGGGGGGGAGCCATTTACTGCTGTATTCAGATTAACTGTACTCGGATTAGAGGGACTTCACAGTATAATTTTCCCTCAAAGAGTCTGTCCCTGGGGTTTTATGCACCCTGCATAATTTAGCAAAATAATTATGATCATTTTTTTGCATAATTTCTGATTATTTTCCTTTATCACTTTGCTAAAATTAACAGAATGGCATAATTTCACATTTTCGGGCCCAGTTTACATAATTTCAGAATTTTTTTTCATAAAACCGTGGGGCCAGAAGAGTCCCTTTAATGCTAAAGTAGAGTTATAAAAGAATTATGTGCTTTAATCACGAGAGAACATAATTTCGTAGAAAATTAAAACCAGAATGTGAACTGACGATCTGAACAGAAAGCAGAAACCAAAGCAGCTTTTAGAGACAAAAAGAATAGAGGCTAAAGCTGACAGAAAAAAAAACCGTCTTTAATCATTCGCAATGTAGAAGTAGAAAAAAAAAAATTGGTTTTCTGTTTTCACTTAGCATATGGTCGCTTTTAAGGACAAGCGGACTAACCCAGATTTCGGGGGTTTCCAGAAATCTTGACCTACACCAAAAGAGGGCATTGCCCTACCTATAGGAGAAGTTTTGTACCATTGGTGCGTATATTTGTATGGTTAAAGAGAAAACTCTCCTTGTCTTTCAAAGAAACTGAAGAAAGTCCAAAAACTTTACCTTCGATTTTCTCAAAACAACATTTTTCAGGATAGCCCCCTTGTGCTTAAAAGCGACCATATGTGTGTGCACTTGAGAAAGGTACCAAAAGTCGCCAAAGACCATTTTGAGCTCCAGGCTGATAATGACAAAAATTACTTTTTAGACCAAAACGTGTTCCCATAAAAAATTTTTACCTTGTGTGCAAAGGGTTTTCATTGATTGACTTCTAAAAATATTATTTCCTATAAGGTACAACTCTTAACTCAAAATTGTCAAAATCCAACTTTTGGTACCATTCTTTAGGCACACACACATATGCTAGAGTGCCAGCCCCACTCACCTGAGCAGACAAAAGTCTTCTCACTCTTTGCATGATGAAATTCTTCCTCAGAATGTTATTTACAGTTGGTCTGTCCCTGAGATACATAAGACATGGCATTGTTGTTATAGTGGCTACTACAACAGTACAATTGTGTGGGAGATATAACAGACATGGCATCACGATAGTGGCTATTGTTACATAGTTGTCATTTATAGACCTAACGTGTAATTCATTGTGATGCGAACATGATTCGTTAACTCTTTCACTACCGGGGGGGGG